CCCCTCCCCCCGCCCAAACAGCAAAAAAATCAACACGCACCCGCCCAAACAGCAAAAAAAAAATCGAAAAGCCCAAACAACAAAAGGCCAGACAACAACAACAACAACAACAACAAAAACACTCTTACCCACGATAGGTCGCATCCCTGCTCATCGTTTCCCTACGGGTCCAATGCAACCGTATTATTGCGTTGGGCTCAAATCTATAGCACGGCAAGTACAGATGAATGCCGTAACCTGCCATGGTCTCCAAGTGGCCCACATCCCCGCAACTTTAAACAGCTTACTCCTTTTGAAGGCCTGGCCTGGGTTGCCCCTATTAGCGCCCTATATCCCCAATTAAGGTCACTGGGAGGGCCTTGGAAAGAGTCGAAAGTAAACAGCAAGTAGCTTCGTATCATAAACTTTGGATACTGCCTCCATCCTACAAGAGTCATATCTGGTAGTTTCCCTGAGTAGGGGACCGCAATATAGACTCCAAGATATTGTAGTCCTTATTATGGGGACCCCCAAAAGGTGGCCATAATTTTGGGAAACTACCATATAGCGCCTGCATTCAGGATTGGAGGGCGCGCACAATTTCCCACCTCAACATTTACTGATCCTTCTAGGTAGGCCTTTTGGTATTCCTGCCCTTGAAGAAGCCCACCTCAAGCGCTCTCTTGATCTAGTTTGGCGCCTTCATGTAGGGAACTTCTGGGAAAGAGGTTTCTGAAGGGAAAAGGGGCTAATTTGGTCCCTTTAGTTGTCTCGCAAGGGCTGCACCGTTCATAGCCTTCAGGAATGGTGCCACAGAAGGGGCAGCTGAAGCACAAGAGAAGAATGTTACTGAGCTGCCTGGGTTTCAAGACCGAATGTGGGTGTGGGAGAGTGCTTGTTCTCAACAGCTCAAGAATCATCATGGCTGATGAGCTGGTAATCGGGAAAACAAGATGGAGGATTCCCCTGAACCCTCAACTCCACGTAACATAGTGTTTTCCATTTGCTGTTGCACTCTACGTCCCCTTTGGGGGGAATGCCTTCTCAACGCACACAGTAATGACTCAGGTTTGGAGTATACTTGCGCAGCGCCTGGCTGGTCGAAAGCTGAAGCTTGAGCCGCAACAGCGCTTTTCTGCATGGTCTCTGTCTTGGGTACCTCCCACAATGACAGGGGTTCTTATTTGCCTTATCGGATTGGCGGGAGTCCGAGTCTACGATCAACCAAGCAGTTGTTACAATTGTTGTTGGTATCCGAAATCGTTTTCAAGTATAGTTCAACTTGGCGCTTTGCATTCCTATCAGGTCAGGCAGTAATCCCTTGCACGGCATACTCGGCCCCATCCGCCACGTAGGAGTCTATGTAGAGCTGCTTGCGTCGGGAGGAAACTGACTCTGAAGGAGGATCATGCATCTTAGGATTTTGGGGTCTAGGTGTGAGGGGTATAGGGTTGTACATGCATCGCTGGACCAGTCTTCTTTGCTTGTTTGTCTCTGTACAGGCAGCAATACTGGACTCTAGGGATTTACTTCCTATACTACTCTGGATGGAGGATATTGTGTCTCACCTTACCGTAAGCGTCAAAGTACCCAAGTGTTAGTGTTTTGGGTTCCCAAATCCATTCACATTATGTTGTTTAGGACTAGAAAGCTGTCTTTGCCAGGGGAAGCAGCAGCGTCGAACTTTGCTTGACCTTCTGCTGTAGTAGCTGCACACCATGGATGCTGAGCCTCGGGGATCCGAGTCTCCAAGTCTAACAGCGTAAGTCTGACATACTTTGAGGCCTGAAGTTTGTTCGAAGGGCGCTAAATGGAGCCAAGCAGAAAAGAGGGCTGTGTTCAGGGCTCAAGGTCTGGGGCGCTATCCGCCTCGATTTAGTCAGCTTTCAGTGGTCTATGCAGGCGCTTAGATTAACAGTGGATAGGTTGTGATTAACGTGCATTTTCAAGCAGACGTCATCAGTCAGTCCCACAACGTTGGTTTGAGTCCATGCGGTTCAGCGAGTGCCGAAAGCTGGACAGGAATGCCGAAAGCTAGTAATTCGAGTCATCTAGATAAACCCTGAACCCATTAGAGCCTTGACAGGCCGTCCAGAATCCCACAGCCACACATCCTCTGCAGCCGAAAGGAATCTGATCTTTTCCGATGCCATTCACTCCCCTAGCGCCGTCCGCTTTGAGCAGCGCATGTGGAAGACATACAAGCTGCTTCCAGATCCGTACCTTGGCTGCAGCAGATACCCTAAACAGTCAACCCTAAACCACATGGGTTTTATTTGCTCTTCTGGACGACTGGGGATGGCATCATATAATAATGTTTCAACATGGGCCTTTATGATCCTGCCTCATATGTGATCAGTCCTAGTCTTCCAAATGTTTCTTTGACGGATTGCCTTTTTGTGCAAACTTGCCTCAGACATGGACCATGAGATCAAGCTAGGGCAGCTAGGGGAGTGTTACGCGGACAGACCTTACCTTTCGTTATCTTCACATGTGCGCCGCTTCTACTCAGAGTTTGAGATACTTGGCCATTACGTTGTAGAAGCTGGGACTGCCAATTGAGTTTTCCCGTTGCTAGAAGCCTTTTGTAGATGAGGCTTGCGTAGATCTTTGACGCCTCCGTGGAGAGCAGGGGATCCCAATTCAGCCCCCAAAAGACCATGACCTTTTCATATGGATACCCCCACAAAGGGACCCTTCATTTTGGGATTGAGGAATGAAGATGGGCAGCAGAACGAGCCATTGGCTGTGGTCTGGGATGATTGCCAGGGGCAACTTGAGTGCATAATCTTCGAGGCCGGATCTTCATTGTTTGGGTAGAAGTGAGGGATTCTGATTCAGGGTTGCGCATCCAGGGTCCAGGGTTTGAGGGGTTGAGGCTGGAAGGGCTCAGGGCTTTAAAGCTTAGGGCTGCTCGACCTTGATCCTAAGCTCCTAAACTCCCCCAGTCTGATTTGGAGTCTGGAAGCCCCCGCGCCCTGCAGCCGTATCTTTCGCACGACCCTCAGCCGTGACTAGCATCATTTTTTTTGCGTAAGTATTGGGTTTCTTATTGTTGTCACTCTGCTTCCCTCCGAAGGGAGCTTCGAGCGCCAACAGCAACGAGATCCAAACAGCTGAGTTACATTGGAGGGTCCGGGCAAGCAGTCCCTGCAAGGTCATCCACGAGCTCGTTGCAGACACATTGCCACACGAGCCCATGGCATCGAAGCAGTCCTGGCTCAGCGTCCTTTGGCTGAGCAAAATGCTCAGATAGGTACATGAGCAGTTGCGGCGTAAGAAGTTTAAAGAAGTCAACGCCAAGAGTAGTAGTAGCAGTAGTAGCAGTAGTAGCATTTGCACAAACAGTAGCAGTAGCTAGCCCTACTGTTACGGCCGTCGCTACTGCTCAGGCTGCTTCTGCTTCCATTTTTTGCTGCAGCTGTTGCCACGGCTGCGATGACTACGCTGGTACGTAGTCGTAACAGCAAGACGTACTTCTGACATAAGCCGGCATCAGTAGTGGCAGTAGCAGCAGATGTTTTACTGGCCTCAGACTTCAGCGTAAAGATTCTGAGAATGCTGGTAAACTCAGAATTGGAACTTGATCGCAGCTCATCCAGAAAACGCTGCCAAATTGGCCTTCATAAACAAGATAAAGTACACACTTGCCATGTCTACACATAACAACAATCTACTTTGACATGGCCGATCCCCATTTGCGGCCAGTGCTCTGCTTATGAAACGCAAGCCCTTGAGAATCGAGTTGTCTACACAACTTCTATCTAGGCACCTGCAGAGCTGGTAGAGTTTATCAATTTCACCATTGTACCCTTGAACCCGGCAACACAATTAGCCACAGCAGAGAGATTTCCCAGGTCTGCTTCGGATCGTTCTCCATCCTCGGATCTTGGGGCCCAGGTTACAGGCGCCACAAGGCCGGGCATGTTCTTTCTGTTAAATGCAGCAGTCACTTTAGTGTGTAGTAGGTGTCTAGAATAAGCAGACAAACCAAGTCCTAAACCTCAGACCCTCGACAGCCTTGTGAACTTCGAACCGTTTCACAACAAGAATCCATACTTCCAAACCTACTGAGATGCTATGATCATAGACCTATCATATGAAGTGTTTGTGGACTTCAAACCCTTCGAGAAGAAGGCCTGTCTCTTCGCCAACTTCGCAATCTTCGATCGCCCAGAGGATGCAGAGGAGCGGAGGAATTTGAACCACCAAGCCATGATTCCCGCTTGCCATTTAACAAGGGAGCAGGGGGGGATAGAAATCATCAGATGATTGGAATGAAATGGAAAAAAGATGGAGAATGAAATGGAAACTATGGTTGTAGTGCTGATGTATGAGGGAGTAATCCTCTCCCCCTAATGTCGAGAACCCCGTACCCTGACATAACATATCCTCATTCTGACATACTAGAATATTTGGGGAGGATTCAACATCAGGGGGCTTTGCTGTCATGCAGAGCGGATTAAGGCCGAAGTGCAAGGATGTTGAGTCAGAACACAAGGTTTGGCGAGCCCTTATAAGGTACAAATCTACATATACAAGGAGTACATATGGTCTATGTGCTGACAGCCGTTTTTGTGCCGGACTTTTGGATTTTGGGTCGCGCCTTAACTCCTTTGATCTAGGTACTCCCAAACCTGGTACATTAAGGTTTAAGCTCTTGGGCTCCTGTGCTCAGGGAATCGGGGTTAGGGTTTAGTGAGGCTATAGGGTTCTTACGACATTGGGGTATTACAGGGATTAAGAAGGGGGTTATGGGGGGAGAATCCCCACTGAGCAGCAACGTAGTGCGTAAATCATATTTCGAACGCTTCCCATGTTCCATTAGCTGCTCTCTCGTGGTTGAAGTCATATGCGAAGACAAGGAAAGCCTTCAGGAACCCACTCCGAAACACACCTCAGCCCCCCAAAAAGGCCCAACACTATCCAGACTCATTGCTTGAGGAAGGGTATTGTTGTCGGCAGGATCTTGCAGAGGGCATACCTGACCCTAAGCCCCAAGCCCACAAAAAAACTAAACCGTGAACCATATAGACTTCTAAACCCTGAACCCTAAACCCTGGATCCCAAAGCTTAACCCATGCCGTAATCTCGTGACCCAAGGATCGGCGGCTGGCCGGTTACAGACGACGACTTGGCTTGCTTCGCGCCAGGGGAGTGGAAGCTGCTGAGGCAGCCACAGCACCTTGAAAACAAATGGTGCCTGAGAGGGATATATATATATACATATATGTATTTTTTTTGTTTTAGGGTTTAGGGTTTGGGGCATTTGAAAGGGGATTATATATACATGACATATATATATATACATATGCTAACCCCCCCCCCCCCGCGGCGCGGCCCAGGACCAACCTTTTGGTTAGAAAATTCCAAAAATTCTAAAAATT